AAATTTCTCATCGTTGAACTTCATATTGTTTTCTGCAGCCCAAATGAAAGATTTGGTTGATGTCTGCCTGGAGCTTTGCAGTGTCTTTCAATGGAAGACACTGTCATGCAGATTCGGGGTGTCATCTGCAAAGGAAGACACGGTTTCTGTTGGCTGACATCCTTGTCCCATGTCGGATATAAGGATGAGGAACAAGATGGGAGCGATTTCTGGCCTTGTGGAACAGAGCTTTTCACCGAGCTGCCTCGGACTTTACTCTGTTGACGACTACTCTCTGTGTTCTGTTAGTGAAGGAAATTATAGATCCATCGACCGACTTTTCCTGTTATTCCTTTAGCACGCATTTTGTGCGCTATTACGCCATGGTCACATTTCGAAGGCTTTTGCAAAGTCTGTATATATTACATCTGCATTCTTTTTGTCTTCTAGTGCATTTAGGACCTTGTCGTAGTGGTCCAATAGTTGAGACAGACAGGAGCGACCTGTTCTAAAACCCATGTTGCCCTGGGTTGTGTAACTGATGGGTTTCTAGATGCGTGGTGATCTTGCTTCTTAGGACCCTTTCAAAGATTTTTATGATATGGGATGTTAGTGCTATTGGTCTGTAGTTCTTTGCTGTTGCTTTACTGCCCTTTGTGGAGTGGGGCTATGTCTGTTGTTTTTAGTAACTGTGGGACGACCCCCGTGTCCATGCTCCCTCTCCATAGGATGGAAAAGGCTCGTGATAGGGGCTTCTTGCAGTTCTTGATGAACACAGAGTTCCATGAGTCTGGGCCTGGGGCAGAGTGCATGGGCATGTCATTTATCGCCTGTTCGAAGTCATTTGGCGTCAGGATAACATCGGATAGGCTTGTGTTAATCAAATTTTGTGGCTCTCTCATAAAAAATTCATTTTGATCTTCGACTCTCAGTCTGGTTAGCGGCTTGCTAAAAACTGAGTCATATTGGGACTTGAGTAGCTCACTCATTTCCTTGTTGTCATCTGTGTAGGACCCATCTTGTTTAAGTAGGGGCCCAATACTGGACGTTGTTCTCGATTTTGATTTGGCATAGGAGAAGAAATACGTTGTGTTCTCTCCCCCTAGTACTATGATTGCTTTGGTTCCCAACCTTGACAAAATTGGCAGCAAGATATTCTGGACACTGTTTGTGAACAATTTTATAAACATGATTTATCTCGGTTGGAGAACGCGGTTGAGAAACTTTTAAAGAAAGTGAGACCAAGTGAGCAAGTCTCGGTGTTATAAGAGGGCTTACTGCAGAATGTATCATACGTAAGAGCTCTATCAGTGTGGTGTCCGAGCTTTTAAACAACGCCTGTGCATGTACATATACTTATATTTCCTGACTCAGAGCCATTTGTAAATACTTAACCTAGTACTGTGATGTGTTAATGAGGCGAGTGACAAATGTTATACTCGTAGTGTAAAAACATGAGAAAGTGGGTTTAAGTGGTTATTAATAAATTAAATAGAAACTAAGAAAATTCCATTTCCTCTATGAGTGATGACCCGTAGACGTGCTAAGTTTGTTCGTTTGTTACGAGAAGCACTATAACCCAGGGACCAACCGGCTATGTTCGTAACACTCAGTAAAAAAGAAAACTGGAACCTACACTGACTTTCTTGGGTTATCCTGGGTGGCTAATCCTCCGGGGTTAAAAATCCGAACGAAATCTTATCTTATCTTATCTTATCTTATCATGTCAGAGGATCTCACCTTCAAAGACCATAACACTGTATCAATCGCATCTGCTAGAAAAATGACAGGATGGATAATGAGAACCTTCAAAACTAGGGATGCCAAGCCCATGATGACACTCTTCAGGTCACTTGTTCTATCTAGGCTGGAATATTGCTGCACACTAACAGCACCTTACAAGGCAGGTGAGATTACTGACTTAAAAAATGTACAGAGAACCTTCACGGCACACATAACTGCGATAAAATACCTAAATTACAGGGAACGCTTGACGTTCCTCAACCTGTACTCCCTAGAACGCCAGCGGGAGAGATTCATGATTATATACACTTGGAAAATCCTGGAGGGATTAGTACCAAACTTGCACACAAAAATCTCGGCAGACAATGCAACATATCCACAATGAAAAGCAGGGGTGCCAATAGCACGAAAAGGGACAACACAGTAAGTGTCAGGGGCCCAAGACTGTTCAACTGCCTCCCAGCATACATAAAGGGGATTACCAATAGACCCCTGGCTGTCTTCAAGAAGGCACTGGACAGGCACCTAAAGTCAGTACCTGACCATCCGGGCTGTGGTTCGTGCGTCAGTTTGTATGCAGCCAGCAGTAACAGCCTGGTTAATCAGACCCTGATCCACCATGAGGCCTGGTCACAGACCAGTCCGTGGGGGCGTTGACCCCCGAAACCCTCTCCAGGTATATTCCACGTATACATAGGCCAAAAATCAATTACAAAAAATGCCTAATATTGACCAGGGTAAGGTTAAAGTAAATAAGAAATTAATTAGGTAAGTTTTATTTAAGTTATGGATACATAACACATGTTCTGAGCACATAAAAGAGCTAACTTTATGTATATTTAACCTTGGATAATTCAATGAAGTCAGACACTGACTTATTTCTAATCAGAAGAGACATTCTCCAGTTATTTCACTGTAACCAATTTGATCAATAAAAATGAAACATTAAAACTTAAACCTAAAATGAAGGCGAAGCTTCCTTTAAGAAAAACACACCAGCATTAATATTATAAATTTTCTTACAAGAAGATAGAGTCTCCGGTTACTGCACTGAACCCAACAAAATTTGCACCTACGCAGCCTATACCCAAAAAGTGTGGCGGAAGTCAGGAGCTGACTGCCCTCACCAGTCAGGAGCTGACTGCCCTCACCAGTCAGGAGCTGACTGCCCTCACCAGTCAGAAGCTGACTGCCCTCACCAGTCAGGAGCTGACTACCCTCTCCAGTCAGGAGCTGACTGCCCTCACCAGTCAGGAGCTGACTGCCCTCACCAATCAGGAGCTGACTGCCCTCACCAGTCAGGAGCTGACTGCCCTCACCAGTCAGGAGCTGACTGCCCTCACCAGTCAGGAGCTGACTGCCCTCACCAGTCAGGTACTGACTGGGGCGGCAGAACAAACAGTGGGTATCTATGGTGGCAAAAACTCTCGCTTTACAAAATGAGTTTCCTGACTCGATTCCCGGCGAGGTTAGAAATATTTGGCGTGTTTCTTTATACCGGTTGTCTATGTTCACCCATCAGTAAAATGGGTACCTAGGTGCTCGTCGACTGGTGTGGGTCGCATCCTGGGACAAAACTGTCCTAATTTGCCCGAAATGCTCAGCATAACAAACTGCTGTCTATATAGTAGTATGTCATTGATGTCAGTTAGGACTGTATACCTTGTACATGTACTTGTAGTAAATAAAGATTATTATTATTACGACAGGTGAAAGGACCGCAGCCGTGGGAAAGTTTAAAATATTGCGTCTCTGTCAGTTGGACTTCTCAAGTGAAATGGAGGGGTAGGAATACCTACATACAAAGAGGTGTTTTATGATTTGCAATTGGCTTAAAATAAGCTTAATAATTCATGTGCATACAGAGAGCATTTCCCTTTACTTACTCAGTACAGGTTGCACTAACCCAGGGGTGTAGCTGCTAGCGTCAGTGTTGTGGACGAGGTCTCTGCCTCCTAACTTAACACTGGAGCCCAAATAAATAATTTAATTTACAAAATATATTATATGGTCATTTTACTTCATGAGGGAAATTTGAAAGAAAAACTCCGAAGGCAGCTTTCCAGGGTCATGTATGGAAGAATATGTTTGTATATAACACCAAGGTACGAAATCAGTAGAAAATATAAGCTTTTTACTTAAAATAATAACTTTAAAAATCCGATAGCATTATAAACTGCTGTGAATGTATTAAACCAACATTCTTTCCCAAAACATACACTATCAACTCAGTGATGTCGTAGCTTACGTAAAGTGCATATCTTTGAAAATAAAAAAATGCTAGTATTACTAGCAGGAATTAATAAAATATTTGCTGGGTTTATGCCGAAAAGAAAACTGGAGAAATGGGCAACTGAATCTTTATTTTTTTTAACAAATCGAACCCAAAGACTAATGGTCAAAGTAAACCTTAAGGCCGCCACATTGAAAACTTCGTTCTTCAAAGCACTGCATTCGTCACATTTCTCTCTCACTGTCATCTCTAACATAGGCAAATAACTCAAAGCACTGTGTCATCCCTTGCAAACGATACTAGAAATTGTACGGGTGAGGCATCTAGAGAGGATATAGCAAATATCCAAGCTGACAGTTTTCCACTGGGCCACAGAAAACAATAGATTTTGAACGAGGACAAAATTCACTTACTTTGCTATGGAAAATTTAAGTAAAATTTGCAATGGAGTATAAAATACTTGAACTCTAACCAAACCATACCCCCGGCCGGGATTGAACCCGCGGTCATAGAGTCTCAAAACTCCAGCCCGTCGCGTTAGCCACTAGACCAGCTAGCCACAATAAGATTCATCCAACTAGGTATATTTCTACACCATAGGAAGGTTAGCACAGGCACCTCTGTGACCACAAATGCAAGTTTTTACAGACGAATCTCCAGCTAGCGTGGCCGTGACGAACTCTAGCTCAAGCAGTGAAGGGACTTGAGCTAGAGTTCGTCACGGCCACGCTAGCTGGAGATTCGTCTGTAAAAACTTGCATTTGTGGTCACAGAGGTGCCTGTGCTAACCTTCCTATGGTGTAGAAATATACCTAGTTGGATGAATCTTATTGTGGCTAGCTGGTCTAGTGGCTAACGCGACGGGCTGGAGTTTTGAGACTCTATGACCGCGGGTTCAATCCCGGCCGGGGGTATGGTTTGTTTGCAATCGTGTCATTACGATTTCTTGAGTCTACTTGAACTCTAAACCGGAGTACTGTTGTAGAGTAACAGCCCTTTTTAAGGCAGGTGAAATTGCAGATCGGGAGACTATTGTTGTATTAAAAACACAAATGCTAAATCATTATGAGTCATGCAGGTAGATCCGCATAATGTAAAGAACTTTGACTATCTGTATCAACGCAGACAAACGCCTAAAATATTGGAAACGCCTGGCGTCCCTTAATCTGTACTCTTTGGAAAGCCGGCGAGAAATATACATTCTAATTCATACCTGGAACATTCTGGAGTGACTGGTTCCAATTCTGGAAACTGAAATTGCTCCCTATGACAGCAGGAGGCTCTGAGAACGGTGCAAATACCCCCGATGAAAAGCAGGGGTGAAATAAGAACGCTAAGAAATAACTTGTCTGTAGGGTTCAATTACAATGGGGGTTACCTATAAACTTTTAACTGTCCTCAAGAGGGAACTTAATAAGATCTTCAAATCAGTTCTGCATCAACCGGGCTGTGGTACATTTGCTGGATTGCGTGTTACTAGCACCAACTGATCAACCCATCAACTATGCAGGCCTAGTCTATAACCTATTCAATCAACAATAGGTAACTGACACTATTTCAGATTGGGCATGTCATTTGCGTCAGTTTTACCGATATAACTTCCTTATTTAATAACAAAACTGTCCAAGAAGAATGACCCTGTCATCTTACAATGTCCTGTTTACCCGTTTTTGCTGACAGATGAAACCTTTTGGATAAATATGCTTGATCTTTCAATGTTGTGGGAGACCGTCAAAGGTAGAGGGACAGGGGGAGGGAGGGACATCAGAGGGAGAGACAAAATTATGAGGGAATGGACGACGAGCTACGTAAGGGTCGGGGAACGAAAATAGGACAATGGGCGAGTCAACAGAGAAAAGAGAAAGAGGGGTTGGGCAATAGAGTGATGGGGATTTGGATTCGGCAAGAGAGGGACGGGGAATGGTGTCGAGCAATAGAAAAATGGGGAAGAAAACGAGACAATGGAAGAGGAGGCAGAAGGCAAGACGAGGGGTTGTCAATTTGGAGTGGGACCGTCCACCTGGTGAGTATCAACTAGACGAGGGGTTGTCAATTTGGACTGGGACCATCTACCTGGTGAGTATCAACCAGACGAGGGGTTGTCAGTTTGGAGTGGGGCCGTCCACCTGGTGAGTATCAACCAGAGAGACTCGACAGGCACTTTTGGAGGTTGTACAGGGTGACTTTTCCAGCTCCAGTAGCGTTATGGTGTTAGTGCCCTGCCTTAGGACGACCCGGGGCACATAGAGTGTTACCTGGGGGCCCACCTCTGGCCAGTACCTTCCCAGGCACAGGTCGTTCACCCATGCTACTCCCTGCAGGAGAGATCACACACTTCAAAATATTTTACAACTCCTAAAACTCTCTCTTAAATTTATTAACCTGAGTATTTCTTATATTGCCTCATTTTCCTTTACCACTAAATACAGTATATCTAAACATTATTGCATTCCTTTCATAAAACAATAAAAATACACAATAAAATCACATAACTAATATATACATCACCAAACATTCTGTGAATTTCATTTTTTATTAAACTAGGTAAAATAAATAACATAAAGATCGATGATGTGATTTTTGTTGAATGGTGATTAGTTATCAAACTATAAATCAGTAAAACTGGAGACTTCAAATTTAAGGACAACAAACTTTCTATAATTGTTAGTTTTTATTAAATATGTAAAGGATTGTATATATTCCGGCAGTGAATATTGAATAACTGACGTTAGCTAACAAGGAACAAGTAGAGGGTGCCCAGACTCACCCCAGTACAACACTGAGGTCAATTTGATTAAGCAAGACTTTGAAAAGGCAATAAATGACATGCCTATGCACTCTGCCCTAGGTCCAGACTCATGGAACTCCGTGTTCATCAAGAATTGCAAGAAGTCCCTATCGCGTGCCTTCAACATTTTGTGGAGAGGGAGCATGGACACAGGGGTCATCTCACACACACTAAAAACAACAGACATAGCCCCACTCCACAAAGGTGGCGGTAAAGCAATTCCAAAGAACTACAGACCGATAGTACTAACATCCCATATCATAAAAATCTTTTGAGAGGGTTCTATGAAACAAGATCGCCAACCACCTAGATACCCATTAGTTACACAACCCAAGGCAAGACGGGTTTAGAGCAGGTCGCTCCTGCCTGTCCCAGCTACTGGATCACTATGACAAGGTCCTGGATGCAGTTGAGGATAAACAAAATACATGAAGTATACACAGACTTTGCAAAAGCTTTCGACAAGTGTGACCATGGAGTAATAGCACAAAAAATGCGTGATAAAGGAATAACAGGAAAATGTGGATCTATAACAGGAAAAGATGGATCTATAACTTCCTGACAAATAGAACACAAAGAGTAATAGTAAACAGAGTAAAGTCTGAGGCAGCTACAGTGAAAAGCTCTGTTCCACAAGACACAGTACTCGCTCCCATTATATTCCTCATTCTCATTTCTGACATAGACAGACATAGCTCCGTGTCTTCCTTTGCGGATGACACCCGGATCACCATGGCAGTGACCTTCATCGAAGACACTGCGAGACTCCAATCGGACATCAACCAAATTTTCAAATGGGCCACTCAAAACAATATGAAGTTCAACGAGGAGAAATATCGACTACTCAGATATGGAAAACTCGAGTAAATTAAAAATGTATCAGGGTATACGACAAATTCTAACTATACAATAGAGCGAAAGAGAAATGTGAAAGACCTGGGAGTGATAATGTCGGAGTATCTTGCCTTTAAAGACGATAACAATGTATCTACCTCATCTGCTAGGAAAATGATAGGATGGATAATGAGAACCTTCAAAACTAGGGACACCAAGCCCATGATGACATTCTTCAAATCGTTTGTTTTCTCTAGGCTGGAATGCTGCTGTACACTAACGGCCCCCTTCAAGGCTGGCGACATTGCAGACCTGGAGAGTGTACAAAGAACTTTCACAGCACACATAAGTGCGATAAGGCACCTAAATTGCTGGGAACGGTTGAAGGTCCTTGATCGGTATTCCCTGGAATGCAGGCGAGAGAGATATACATGATAATGTGCACATGGAAGGTCCTAGAGGGATTGGTACTAAACCTGAACACGAAAATCACTCCATATGAAAGAAAAAGATTTGGCAGGAGATGCAATATTCTCTCGATGAAAAGCAGGGGCGCCACGAGTACACTGAGACACAACACAATAAGTGTCCTGGGCCCAAGACTGTTCAATTGCCTCCCAGCATACATAAGGGGATTACCAGTAGACCCCTGACTGTCTTCAAGAAGGCACTGGACAGACACCTAGAGTCAGTACCTGACCAACCGGGCTGTGGTTCGTACGTCAGTTTGCGTGTGGCCAGCAGTAACAGCCTGGTTGATCAGACGCTGATCCACCATGAGGCCTGGTCACACACAGAGCCGCGGGGGCGTTGACCCCCGAAATCCTCTCCAGGTAAACCACAGCAAACGCCTACTCTTCTTTTTTCTTTTATTCATAGTTGTTGGGTGACGTTTCAAAAAGTAAATTAATATACCTGGACCTGGAGTTTACCTGGAGAGGGTTTCGGGGATCAACGCCCCCGCGGCCCGGTCTGAGACCAGGCTTCATGGTGGATCAGGGTCTGATCACCCAGGCTGTTAATGCTGGCCGCACGCACGGTTGGTCAGGTACTGACTTTAGGTGTCTGTCCAGTGCCTCCTTGAAGACAGCCAGGGGTCTACTGGTAATCCCCTTATGTATGCTGGGAGGCAATTGAACAGTCTTGGGCCCTGGACACTTATTGTGTTGTCTCTCAGTGTACTCGTGTCACCCCTGCTTTTCATCGAGGGAATATTGCATCTCCTCCCGAGTCTTTTGCTTTCATATGGATTGATTTTTGTGTGCAGGTTTGGTACCAATCCCTCCAAGAAATTCCAAGTGTATATTATCATGTATCTCTCTCGCCTGCGTTCGAGGGAATACAGATCAAGGACCTTCAACTGTTTCCAGTAGTTTAGGCGCCTTATCATACTTATGTGTGCCGTGAAAGTTCTTTGTACACTTTCCAGGTCTGCAATGTCGCCAGCCTTGAAGGGGGCCGTTAGTGTACAGCAGTATTCCAGCCTAGAGAGCACAAGCGATTTGAAGAGAATCATCATGGGCTTGGCATCCCTAATTTTGAAGGTTCTCATTATCTATCCCATCATTTTCCTAGCGGATGAGGTAGATAACTTGTTGTGGTCTTTGAAGGCAGGTCCTCTGACACCATCACTCCCAGGTCCTTCACATTACTTTTCCGCTCTATTGTATGGTTAGAATTTGTTGTATACCCTGACACATTTTTAATTTCTTCAAGTTTCCCATATCTGAGTAGTTGAAATTTCTCCTCGTTGAACTTCATATTGTTTTGAGTGGCCCATTCGAAGATTTGTTTGATCTCCGCTTGGAGTCTCGTGGTGTCTTCGATGGAGGTCACTGTCATGGTACTTTATGCTGAATGTGTGACTTAAACTGACCTTAGACCAGCCATCCAGACGCAAGAAGGAATCTAGAGGATGTGACTCCTCTGAGGGGACGGTGAATGTGCCACTGTAGAAGGTCATTCCTCCTTGTTGTGTCCCCAGCAGCGGGCTAAGTGTCAGTGTCTGGCGAAGACGCTGCAGTACGTGATGGAGACGAGTGGTGTTAGTGAGCGGCAGTGGTGTCATCGTCCAACCCTCGAGTTCATGATTGTTGATGGTTACGTTGGTTGTGAGACCCTAAGGAAAATTCGTACATTTCTACAGCTGCGTCTCCCATGACTAGCAAAACACAATAGGGAATATTCACAACTTGGGCAAACTTAATAAGCATGCGCCCGTTTGGTGAACAATTGTTTGTATAGCAATGTAATGTTTAACTCCGAATCTGACGATGCTAAGTCTGGTAAGATTTTAAAGTCTCTCCCCATCAGACTGAAACCAGGGCTACGTATTAAGGTAATTAGGGTTCGGTTGTTAAGGCTTGACACTCAGCTTTATGTCAAGGAATCTCTAGGCATGTTAGTTTAAAGATTAAAGATTAAAAAGATTAAAGATTTTATTTCTTTGCAAAGGTTACAATGTGTAATTACAATTTTGATTTGTTAAGTACAAAAAAAAGGCCACTATCATGACGGGGCATTTCGGTTTTGTGGAACTAAATGAAGTGTTTGAAATGTAATTGTTGACAAATATCTTTGTGCTTAAATGAATAATTCAAACCATTTGCACCATTTAACATAATAAAATATCTTAAAAACAAAGAGTGTGGAAGGAAAAGAAAACACTCACACGACCGGAGGTAAAAAAAAACTCTGATTTGAATCCACTACCGTCTTCCTCCCTTTTCAGAAAGACATGATATGGTAACCACTTAGTGCAGTCTGCCACAGCATCCTCATAAGTTTGACTGTAAAAGTAGTACGTATTTAAACTCCCGTATTGGAGTATTTATACTCTCATATGAGACACAAACCCGGGTGAACTTGAACTTCAGACTCTAGTGTACATATGTATGCGAACGTAAAATATTTCATCAAGTACCCGTATGTATGCTGCACCCTTATCTTGAGAATTATGCTGAAACACTTCAAAAAAATCCAGGTATTAATAGCAAACAATTCTGGGTTCGATATCTTTCGTAGCCAGATTTGCTGTTATTAGTGCTTGGAACTTTTCATGTATTTCAATATATTTCAATATATTCACATATGAACTCGCTTAGAAATTATTACTCGAATAACTGGCCTATCCAAAAAATGCTTCCAACTCACCTTGAAGTCATTAAGCTTGGGTCCGACTGAGACACGTCCCAGGCTCTCAACGATGATGTGAATGCTGTCTCCTGGGAGAGCTGACACCGCTAAGTCGTACAACCTCTGCTCTCTGGACACCACCCCGACGTACCGTTCGTTTACGAACACGTAACCGCGGTCATGTATATCATACAAACTCAGGCGTGCCGGATCAGGCTGCGTCAAAGCAAATGTTAGAACAAAAATCCATAAAAACATGTTCAACTTGTCTTTTCTGACTATTCAGCACTGATGCCTTCAAATGTAAATGCTTAATGTTTACCCTCAAGGAAGCTTATCAATGTTTATTTCTGGCTGGGATACTCAGCGTGAGGAGTTTCTACAGTTATTCTTTGAGGAGTGATTAATTATTCATGTCTGAAGATACGTATCAGGTTAGCTTAGGTAAGATTTGTCAGGAAACAGAAAACTTGTTTCCTGACGCGGATCTTAGTCATATGATGACCCGCTACTGGAGCTTCTGGTCATCTGACCGAGGGCTTCCACAGGCTTACTGGACCACCCTCAGTAAAAAATTAAGACACCTGGTGCATAGTTATCCATGCATCAGGTGTCTTCAGAGATTGTTGGATCACTCATCACATCTCTTGGTTAAGTTCACAAACGTGGCTCTAATGTGGACATATTCAATTTTGAAAAGAAAAAAAAAAAGTCCTTGAAGAGAAAAATGATTACTGTTTTAGTAAGTGGATTAAAAATTACTTATTCCTTGAACCCTTTGATCTAGTGGTTGATAACGTTGATCTAGTGGTTGATAACGTTGATCTAGTGGTTGATAACGTTGATCTAGTGGTTGATAACGTTGATCTAGTGGTTGATAACGTTGATCTAGTGGTTGATAACGTTGATAGTGGTTGATAACTTTGATCTAGTGGTTGATAACGTTGATCTAGTGGTTGATAACTTTGATCTAGTGGTTGATAACGTTGATCTAGTGGTTGATAACTTTGATCTAGTGGTTGATAACTTTGATCTAGTGGTTGATAACGTTGATCTAGTGGTTGATAACTTTGATCTAGTGGTTGATAACGTTGATCTAGTGGTTGATAACTTTGATCTAGTGGTTGATAACGTTGATCTAGTGGTTGATAACTTTGATCTAGTGGTTGATAACGTTGATCTAGTGGTTGATAACGTTGATCTAGTGGTTGATAACGTTGATCTAGTGGTTGATAACGTTGATCTAGTGGTTGATAACTTTGATCTAGTGGTTGATAACGTTGATCTAGTGGTTGATAACGTTGATCTAGTGGTTGATAACTTGATCTAGTGTGTTGTTGATAACGTTGATCTAGTGGTTGATAACTTTGATCTAGTGGTTGATAACGTTGATCTAGTGTGATTGATATAACGTTGATCTAGTGGTTGATAACTATTGTTCTATAGTGGTTGATAACGTTGATCTAGTGGTTGATAACGTTGATCTAGTGGTTGATAACGTTGATCTAGTGGTTGATAACGTTGATCTAGTGGTTGATAACGTTGATCTAGTGGTTGATAACTTTGATCTAGTGGTTGATAACGTTGATCTAGTGGTTGATAACGTTGATCTAGTGGTTGATAACGACTATTTGATACTTGTTGGTTGATAACGTTGATCTAGTGGTTGATAACTTTGATCTAGTGGTTGATAACGTTGATCTAGTGGTTGATAACGTTGATCTAGTGGTTGATAACGTTTGATCTAGTGGTTGATAACGTTGATCTAGTGGTTGATAACTTGATCTAGTGGTTGATAACGTTGATCTAGTGGTTGATAACGTTGATCTAGTGGTTGATAACGTTGATCTAGTGGTTGATAACGTTTGATCTAGTGGTTGATAACGTTTGATCTAGTGGTTGATAACGTTGATCTAGTGGTTGATAACTTGATCTAGTGGTTGATAACGTTGATCTAGTGGTTGATAACGTTGATCTAGTGGTTGATAACGTTGATCTAGTGGTTGATAACGTTGATCTAGTGGTTGATAACGTTGATCTAGTGGTTGATAACGTTGATCTAGTGGTTGATAACGTTGATCTAGTGGTTGATAACGTTGATCTAGTGGTTGATAACGTTGATCTAGTGGTTGATAACGTTGATCTAGTGGTTGATAACGTTGATCTAGTGGTTGATAACGTTGATCTAGTGGTTGATAACGTTGATCTAGTGGTTGATAACGTTGATCTAGTGGTTGATAACGTTGATCTAGTGGTTGATAACGTTTTATCTAGTGGTTGATAACGTTGATCTAGTGTTGATAACGTTGATCTAGTGGTTGATAACTTGATCTAGTGGTTGATAACTTGATCTAGTGGTTGATAACGTTGATCTAGTGGTTGATAAACGTTGATCTAGTGGTTGATAACTTTGATCTAGTGGTTGATAACGTTGATCTAGTGGTTGATAACGTTGATCTAGTGGTTGATAACGTTGATCTAGTGGTTGATAACTTGATCTGTTGAATATCTAGTGGTTGATAACGTTGATCTAGTGGTTGATAACTTTGATCTAGTGGTTGATAACGTTGATCTAGTGGTTGATAACTTTGATCTAGTGGTTGATAACGTTGATCTAGTGGTTGATAACGTTGATCTAGTGGTTGATAACTTTGATCTAGTGGTTGATAACGTTGATCTAGTGGTTGATAACGTTGATCTAGTGGTTGATAACTTTGATCTAGTGGTTGATAACTTTGATCTAGTGGTTGATAACTTTGATCTAGTGGTTGATAACTTTGATCTAGTGGTTGATAACTTTGAGGGTAATACAACTGCTGTTAAAACATATATATTATGAACCAAAACTACTTTTATCAGAGTAGAAATAACATGAAAAGTTTATCTATGTGAGAGAAAGTCAGATATAATGAAAAAGTTTGAAATGTTAGAGGTAAAATACTTTGACATTTCTTGAATATTTGTGAGTGAATTGTCAGGGAATTAATAAATTTTAATTATAAATAACGCATAACTACTATTTTTGTTTAAATTCTAGCATACCTTGTCAAAATATAAGGTAATATAAAAAATCAAAACTACATATTAGCAATACTAATATTTTTGTGACTTAATTCATGTCTGCATAAGTAACTCATTACGATTGTAATCTGATATTGCAGACCTGGAGAGTGTACAAATAACTTTCACGGCACACATAAGTGCGATAAGGCATGTAAACTACTGGGAACAGTTGAAGGTCCTTGATGTGTATTCCCTCGAACGCAGGCGAGAGAGATACATGATAATATACACTTGGAAGGTCCTGGAGTGATTGGTGCCAAACCTACACACGGAAATCACTCCATATGAAAGCAAAAGACTCGGGAGGAGATGCAACATTCCCCCGATGAAAAGCAGGGGCACCACGAGCACACTGACAGACAACACAATAAGTGTCCGGAGCCCAAGACTGTTCAACTGCCTCCCAGCATACATAAGGGGAATTACCAATAGACCCCTGGCTGTCTTCAAGAAGGCACTGGACAGACACCTAAAGTCAGTACCTGACCAACCGGGCTGTAGTTCGTACGTCAGCTTACGTGCGGCCAGCATTAACAGCCTGGTTGATCAGACCATCATGAGGCCTTGTCTCAGACCGGGCCGCGGGGGCGTTGATCCTCGAAACCAGGTAAACTCCAGGCGATATAATCATGTAAATAGTCCATTACCACTGTAACTTGTTTAAGTATCAAAACTTTGGGACTCAGTGTCTGGACTCATTATGTGCCTCTGTAATCATTTGACTACCTGGAATATACTTGGAGAGGTCATCGGGGGTCAACGCCCCCGCGGCCCGGTCTGAGACCAGGCCAAGGAAACTAGACTACAGTGTAGCATATTATCAGCTAGGTTATAGTATTAAAGAACAACCGTGATACCAAAGAAAGAACGTTGAGCCAAAATTCAAGGTAATGTCATATTGGATAATATATTAAAATAACCTTTGCAAGAATTATCCTTAAATTAGAGGACATAAAGTTTAGTAAATAATTTATTTAAAATAAATTAGAAACCGCACAGACTGCTTAAGTAACTGTAATGAAGTTTAAATCTGATCCAGCAGGAAGCGATCCAACAACATCCATTCTATAACTAGTTCGCCTCTGATGAGAGGATCATTGCTAATGTCAAATGTAGTCTTGAGATCAAGGAAGGTTATGTAGCAATATTCAATGTATTGTGTGAGGAAGAAACATTTGACCGGTTTCAAGAAATCTCTCCTTGTAGTCCGGCCTAAGGCCATACTTGGTCCACAAGTAAGGGTTTCCCAGTTACTTATCTATTGCCTGGCTCCTTACACCCCACGCACCTTGCTATGTAAACACCAGTCACTTGACTGTATATCTCGCTCACCTGGCTCTGTATTCCCGGCTCTGTATACTTCAAAACACCTGGCTCTGTATTCCTTAAAGATATATTCCGTATACCTCACACGTGTCTGTATACTTCAAACACCTATATACGTAGCTCAATATACCTGAAACGCATGACTCATATGTCTGGCACCTTAGACCTCACATACCTGACTGTGTACTCACCACTCTTATGGAGAGCACAGTGTGGTATACGACGAGGCCGTTGGATACCTGCAGTTGTTCGAAGGTGAGAGGCCAGGGTTGGGTCACCCCCTGGAGGAGTGGTAGCAGTTGCATCACCGACCCCAGCGCCATGACTTCAATCTTACCGTATTCTGCCTTCTGAGGCACTGGTGGCACCGGCCCGGGGGGCAACACTAGGTACTGCAGGGGACAATAGAGATACGAGGAACGAGGTTACTAAATAACCAACTTAGCCTTGTTCTTTAACACAGATTAGCAGAAAATGCCGTTCCCCACAATCAGACATACCCCTTCACCCGTGTCGCTCCGTCCAGTCTCTGTCAAATTTGTCCCCATGTTGCTGTTGGCTTACCTATCTACAGTTCTTCCTTCTACCTTCCTCCTTTTTCCTCATGAACATTGATTTCCCATCTGACCCGCTCCCCAGAAATGCAGATGTAAAGGAGACAATAACAGACTTGTTTCCATTAGAGGTGTCCAGAAACTTTTTGCTCACACAGGGTGGAAGTAAGATGAGGGGGACAAACACGCCGAAAATTCAGAGGAGCCTAATGCAAAAGAAAAACTTCAGCGCGAGGGTGGCACGTGGAACTGTCTAGGTGAAATAACAGTGGAGACCGTCATCATACTAAGGTTAAAGTGTTGATATGACAAAATCATTAAGTTATAATATTCCCGGTATGGGTGGAAATGTTAGACATATTTCCTTATAACGCTGACCCTATTCACCTAGCAGTAAGTAATACCTGGGTGTTAGTCGACTGTTGTGGGTGGCATCCCATGAGGTAGAAGCATATTTTAGATAGTGTTGGACTTAGAAATAAGCTGAGGTAGGATAACAATTCTTGGCATGTAAAAACTGATCTGAGTAAACAATGAAAATCATATCGTTGGCTACTTATTACAGTTGTGACCGGGTGTGGAAGTGTGAATTGCTCATTACTCTATAATTTGTTCATGATTGTAACCATGTATAAACGTAAGTAACCATTCTACAGAATTCATTACCTTTGTAACTTGTGAGCTCATTACCTTTGTACCTAGTTCAGCTATCAAAACTTTGGGGGCCCAGTCCCTGGACCCATTACGTACCTCTGTAATCTGTAAATACCTTTGTAACTTGTCATGATTGTGACCAGACCTACCTAGAGTTCATTACCTTTGTAAATTGTGAGTTCATTACCTTTGTAAATTGTGAGTTCATTACCTTTGTAAATTGTGAGTTCATTACCTCTGTAACTTGCTCAGCAATCAAAACTTTGGAGTCCAGTCCCTGGACCAATTATGTACCTCTGTAATCTTTTGACTACCGCCCACAGGATGGGTATGGGGTGCATAATAAACATATTAAACTAACTAACTAACTGGCTACTAGGAGAGGACCATAATACCTGGAGGGTGTTCCGGGGGTCAACGCCCCAGCTGCCAGGTCCATGATCAGGCCTAGCGGTGGATCAGGCCTGACCAACCAGACTGTTACTGCCGGCCGCACGCAAACCGACGTACGAACCACAACCCAGCTGGTCAGGTACTGACCAGATTCTCCCCATATTCCCTTTAGTCGAGTACAGTCTTGTAAACTCCTCTTTCCCAATATTTACCTTCAACCCCATACATACTGGACCAGCTCAGCTGATAGATTTTATTCTATGCATGCAGTCCAACCTATGTGATGGACGTGATAAGAAAACAATGCAAAGTAACTAACATAAAGTATAAGGAATTCGCACACTGATTACAGCTTTTGTTAACGAGAACAATGTGTTAAAAAAAATGGATCCCAGTTCAGTACCTTGCTGATGACTTCTCTCACTGCGTGGTACTTCTCAGTGGGGTCTCCCGCCTCAGAAACAGGCGCGTCATAGTCGTAAGATGTTGGACACGACTGAAACGTGCCTCCCACGTTCGAACCTGCGACAAGACGATTGTCATTGTTATAACGAGTGAGGTAAAGTTCGGAGTTTTCAGGAATAGTCAGAAACATTTGAAAGTGAATGAAAAAAGAGAAACACAACTAATAAAGATGGACTGACCTGCGGTGAAACCGAAAGAGGTGCCACCATGGAACATGTACATGTTAACCGAGGCATTGAGAGCTAGGATGGCGTCCAACCCACTGGCTAGCTCCTGTAAGAAGTCGAGAAGATATGAATCTTGTTCAGCGAATATGACTACCATTCATAGTTCTCACAGTAATATATATAATATATATATATAATATATATATATATATATATATATATATTATATATATATATATATATATATATATATATATATATAATTATATACATAAAAGCGATCTTTTAGGCTTCGGTCTGAAGAAGCAATACTTATATCTAGATAGATCAGTCATTCGAAGGAGCTCAGGTACATACTGTACTATCATTAAACTCGAGATGGGCAGCTCAAGCTATCGACATTCTATTGTGTGTGAACCCTCTCCCCTCCCTGAATTATTTCATCCCAGCAAGTTCCTTGCATTTCATTTATTCACTCAAATTGCCTGCCACTCTCCTGTAATTTTTCTCTTATTTTCTCATAGGGCTTCTTACCTGTGTGTTAGTCTTGTGGTGAGGTTCTCCCCAATGATCTATCCATCCTGGATAGAATTCTGAATTGACGAGCGGTCCTCTGGGTTCAAACAGCCTTTGCTGCTCAAACATCATTTTGGGGTCAGTCCCTGGAAAAGGAATAGGGTCAGTGATGAATATTTTGTGAATTTTATCACTACAGAGCAGGAAGCACAAATGAAACCGCAAGCATGTATTTCCGCCTGGTGTTAAATGTTTATTATCACGAAAAAAAAAAAAGATATGGAGATGCGAACTGTAAGAATTATGTGTGAATGTACAATGCATGTAAGGATTCTCTCAAGTGCAGATGTAATATAAATGAGATTGAGCATTCTGGAGGTGGTATGTGTTTACTTCCAGAACCCTCAAGTTCCTGTACTTCCAGAACCCTCAAGTTCCTGTACTTCCAGAACCCTCAAGTTCCTGTACTTCCAGAACCCTCAAGTTCCTGTACTTCCAGAACCCTCAAGTTCCTGTACTTCCAGAACCCTCAAGTTCCTGTACTTCCAGAACCCTCAAGTTCCTGTTTACCTGGAGTTTACCTGGAGAGAGTTCCGGGGGTCAACGCCCCCGCGGCCCGGTCTGAGACCAGGCCTCCTGGTGGATCAGAGCCTGATCAACCAGGCTGTTGCTGCTGGCTGCACGCAAACCAACATACGAGCCACAGCCCGGCTGATCCGGAACTGACTTTAGGTGCTTGTCCAGTGCCAAGAACCCTCAAGTTCCTGCACTCTCAGAACCCTCAAGTTCCTGCACTCTCAGAACCCTCAAGTTCCTGCACCCTCAGAACCCTCAAGTTCCTGCACCCTCAGAACCCTCAAGTTCCTGCACTCTCAGAACCCTCAAGTTCCTGCACCCTCAGAACCCTCAAGTTCCTGCACTCTCAGAACCCTCAAGTTCCTGCACTCTCAGAACCCTCAAGTTCCTGCACCCTCAGAACCCTCAAGTTCCTGCACCCTCAGAACCCTCAAGTTCCTGCAACACCTCAGAACCCTCAAGTTCCTGCACTCTCAGAACCCTCAAGTTCCTGCACTCTCAGAACCCTAAAGTTCCTGCACCCTCAGAACCCTTAAGTTCCTGCACTCTAGAACCTCAAGTTCCTGCACCCTCAGAAACCCTCTAGTTCCTGCACTCTCAGAACCCTCAAGTTGCTGCACTCTCAGAACCATCTAAGTCAAATTCTCCCTAAGCTCTCACGAATCTGTAATTCCAAGTTATTGCTCTTTTGAACTATCAAGATGTTAATGCTAATTCTGAGCTCGCAGTAAAAGACTGAGCAAAGTAAAGGTAATAATGTATGCTGGTTGCAAGCCATTCCCGCAGGTTGGTGCAAGCATGACCAGCATGGTGGTAGCAAGCATCACCTGAATGGGTGGTGCAAGCATCACCCAGCATGGTGGTTTGCAAAGCATTTCACAGCATGGTGGTGCATGCATCACCTGCATGGTGGTGCAAGCATCACCAGATGGTGGGCAAGGCATTACAGCAAGGTGGTGCAGCACACCAGCATGGTTTGGGTGCATAGACTCACAGCATGGGTGCATGCATCCCAGCATGCTGGTGGCAAAGCATCACCAGAATGGTGGTGCAAGCATCACCAGCATGGTGTGCAAGCATCACCAGCATGGTGGTTTGCAAAGCATTTACCAGCATGGTGGTGCAAGCATTTACCAGCATGGTGGTTTGCAAAGCATCACCAGCATGGTGGTGCAAGCAATTACCAGCATGGTGGTGCAAGATCTACCAGATGTGGTTGCAAGCATCACCAGCTTGGTGGTGCAAGCATTATCAGCAGGGTGGGGATGCAAGCTTCTCCAGCATGCTGGTGCAAGCATACCAGCATGGTGGTTGTTAAGCATCACCAGACATGGTGGTGTACGCATCACAGCATGGTGGTTGCAAGCTCACAGATGGTGGTGCAAGCATCACAGCATGGAGTGCAGCATCTCGGCATGGGTGCAAAGATCACCAGAATGGTGGTTCAGGCATCCCCAGCCTGGAGGTTGGTACAAGCATAACCGCATGATGGTGCAAGCATCACCAGCAGGTGTGTGAAAAGCATCACCAGCCATAATGGTGCAGAAAACCAGGTGGTGGTTCAAGCATTTACCAGAATGGTGTGAGCAAGCATCACAAGAATGCTGGAGCAAGCATTCACCAGCATGGGGTGTAAGATCACCAGCATGGTGGTGTAAGCATCACCGCATGGTGCGTGCAAGCATCACAGCGATGTTAGTTGCAAGCATTCCGCATGGGCGCGAAGCCTCACCAGCATGTGGTATGCAAGCCTCACCAGCATGGTGTTGCCAAGAATCAAACAGCCATGGTGGTGCAAGCATTCACCACATGGATTGGCGCATGCACCCAGCATGGTGGTGCAAGCATCACCAGCATGGTGGTGCAAGCATCACCAGCATGGTGGTGCAAGCATCACCAGCATGGTGGTGCAAGCATCACCAGCATGGTGGTGCAAGCATCACCAGCATGGTGGTGCAAGCATCACCAGCATGGTGGTGAAGCATCCAGCATGGTGGTGCATGCCTCACCAGCTATGGTGGTGCAAGATAACCACCATGGTGGGCAGCATCAACAGCATGGTGGTTTGCAAGCATCACTGCCTGGTGGTGCACAGCTATCACAGCATTGGTGGTGCAAGCATATTACCAGAATCCTGGTGCATGCTCTCCAAGCATGGTGGTGCACGCATCACAAGATCTGGTGCAAGCATCACCAGCATGGTGGTATTGCAAGCATCACCAGCGGCATGGTGGTGCATGCATCACCTGCATGGTGGTGCATGCTCACGACTGGTGTGCAAGCATCCCCAGCATGGATGGTGCAAGCAACACCGCATGGTGGTGCATGGCAAGCATCACCAGCATGGTGAGTGCAAGCTTCGCCAGCATGGTGGTTTTGCAAGCATCCCTGCATTGGTGTGCAAGCATCACCTGCCTGTTGGTGGAAGCATTCACCAGCTGGTGCAGGCATCACAAGCTTGGTGTGCAAGCACACCAGCTTGGTGGTGCAGCAATCACAAAGCATGGTGTGCAAAGCATCACCAGAATGGTGGTTTGCAAGCATCCAGCTGGTGGTTGAAAGCTCACCAGCATGGTGGTGCAAGCACACCAGAATGGTGGTTGCAAGGATCACCAGCCTGGTGGTGCAGGATCGCCAGCAATGGTGTGAAGCATCACCTGAATGTGGTTTTGCAAGCTTCACAGCATTGGTGGTGCAAGCATCACCAGCCATGGTGGTTGAGCATCACCAGCATGGTTGGTGGTAAGCTTCACCTGCCTGGTGGTGCAAGCATCACCAGCATAGTGGTGCAAAAGCATCCACCAGCATGGTGGTTTTTTGCAAGTATCACAGCATTGGTGGTGCAAGCGGTCACCGCATGGTGGTGCATGCATCACCTGCATGGTGTGCAAGCATCACCAGCATGGTGGTGCATGGCATCACATGATGGTGGTGCAAGCACATCACCAGATGGTGGTGAAAAGCATCACCCAGCATGGTAGTGCAAGCATCACAGCATGGTTGTGCAATCACACCAGCCTCTGGTGCAAGCATACCAGCATGGTGTTGCAAGATCACAAGCATGGTGCGTGCAAAGATCACCAGCATGGTGGTTCATGTTATTCACCAGCTGGGGGTGCAAGCATGACCTGCATGGTTGGTGCACGCCATCCAGCATGGTAGTGCAAGCATCACCAGCAGGGATTTTGTGCAATCATCACCAGCATGTGGGTGCAAGCAACACCACCAGCTGGTGCATAGCATCACAAGCATGGTGGTGCAAGCTTTCACCAGATGGTGGTGCAGTATCACACTTGTGGTTGCAAGCATCACCAGCATGGTGGTGAAAAGCTTCACCAGCAGGGTAGGGCAAGATCTCCAGCATGGGTGGGGCAAAATATCACCAGCCTCTGGTGCAAAAGCATCACAGGCATGGTGGTGCATGCATCACAGCACATGGTGGTGCAAGCATCACCAGCATGGTGGTGCAAGTATCAACAGAATGGTGGTGATGCAAGATCAAAGCATGGTGGTGCAAGCATCACCAGCATGGTAGTGCAAGCATACCAGCATGGTTGTGCAATCATCACAGCATGTGGTGCAGATCAACCATGCTGGTGCAAGCATCACAAGCATGGTGGTGCAAGCTTCACAGCATGGTGGTGCAGTTCACCTGCATGGTGGTGCAAGCATCACAGCTGGTGGTGCAAGCATCACAGCTGTTAGTGCAGCATACCCAGCATGGTTGTGCAATCATCACCAGCTTGCTGGTTGCAAGCATCCGGCATGGTGGTGAAGATCACAAGAATTGGTGGTGCAAGCATCACCAGCATGGTGGTGCAAGTATCACAGGCATGGTGTGGTGCATGCATAACCAGCTTGTGGGCAAGCATCCCTGCATGGGTTAGTGATGCATACAGCTGGTTGGTGCAAAGCATCCCAGCATGGTGGTGCAGCATCACCAGCATGGAGGTGCAAGCATCACCAGCATGGTGGTTTAAGGCATTCCCCAGCAGTGGTGGTGCAAGCATACCATAGGGTGGTGCAAGCACACCTGCATGGTGGTGAAGCATCACAGCATGGTGGTGCAAGCGTCTCAGCGGCACTGGAACAAGAACCTAAAGAAGTTCTGATCATGCCGGGCTGTGGTCGTCGTTGGTTTGCGTGCAGCCAGCAGCAACAGCCTGTGATTCAGGTTGATCAAGGAGGCTGGTCAAGAACGGGCGTGGGGCGTGACCCCGGAACTCTATACAGGTAATCCAGGTAGCATGGTGTGCAAGCAGTCACCAGGCCTAGTGGTGAAGCATCACCAGCGATGTGGGTGCAAGCATCACCAGAATGGGTTTGCAGATCACAGCATGGTGGTGAAGCATCACAGCATGGTGGTTGAAAGAATCACGTTGGTGTGCATTGCATTACCATATGGTGGTGCATGGCATCACCAGCTTGGTGGTACAGCATCACCAGCATGGTGTTAAGCATGCCTGGCTTGGTGGTAACAAGATACCAGCATGGTGGTGCAAGCATCACCAACATGGTTAGTGCAGATCCAGCATGGTGGTGCAAGCACACCAGCATGGTGGGGCAAGATCACAGCATGTTGGTGCAAGCATTCACCAGCTGGTTGCAAGCATCACAAGCATGTTGGTGCAAGCACACCAGCATGGTGGTGACAAGCATCACCAGCATGGTGGTGCAAGCATTCACAAGATTGTGGTGCAAGATCACCAGCATGTTTGGTAAAGCATCACCAGCTTGGTGGTTGAAGCATCACCAGCATGGTGGTTGCAAGCATCACAGCATGCTGGTACAAGATCACCAGATGGTGGTCAAAGCCTCAACTGCATGGTGGTTGCATGCATCACCAGATGCGGGTACAAGCCAATCACCAGCATGGTGGTTACAAGGATCACAGCATGGTGGATGCCAAGCATCACCACATGGTGGTGAAGGCATCACCAGCTTGCTGGTAAAGCATCACAAGATGGGTACAAGCATCAACAGCATGTGGTTCAGCCATCACAGATGGTGGTTACAGCATCAACAGCTTGGTGGTGCTAAGCATCCCCTGCATGCTGGTAAAAGCATTCAAGCATGGTGGAACATAGTCATCACCCAGCATGGTGGTGCAATGGCAAGCATCACCAGCCATGGTGCGTATATAAGCATCACCAGCTGCTGAGTACAGGCATCACCAGCTGGTGGTGCATGCATCACAGCATGGTGGTACAAGCCTCCCAGCTTGGTGGTGCATGCTTCAAACAGCTATGGGGTAAAGCATAACCAGCATGGTGGTGCAAGCATCACCGCATGTGGTGCAATGCATCACAGCATGGTGGTACAAGCACCACCAGATGCTGGTACACGCATAACAGCATTGGTGGTACAGCATTCACTGCATGCTGGTACATAGCATCACCTGCATGGTGGAAGCAAGCATCAACAGCATGGTGGTCAAGCATCACCAGCATGCTGGTACAATGCATCTCGCATTGGTGGTGCAAGCATCACCAGCATTGGTGTGCATGCATCACCAGCATTGCTGGTACAAGCATCACCTGCATGGTGTAAAGCATCACCAGCATGCTGGTCAAGCCAGTACCAGCATGGGGGTAGCAAGCATCACGCATTGAGTGGTGCAGCATCACCATGCATGGTGGTATAAAAGACACCAGCATGGTGGTGCAACTCAAGCCTGCTGGTACAAGCATCACCAGCTGGTGGTGCAAGCATCACCGATGCTGGTACATGCATCTCCGCATGGTGGTACAAGCATCACCGCATGCTGGTGCAAGATTACAGCATGGGTGGTACAAGCAATCACCAGCATGGTGGTGCAAGCATTCCAGCATGTGGTACAAGCATGACCAGATGGTTGTGCAATGCATGCATCACCAGATGCTGACGCAAGCATCCCAGATGGTGGTGCAACATTCATCGCACGGTGGTACAAGCATCACCAGCATGCTGGTACAAGCATCACCAGCATGGTGGTTGCAAGCAGCCCAGATGGTTTGTGCAAGATCACCACATGGTGGGCAGCATCACCAGAGGGTGGTTACAAGCATCACTGATGCGGTGCATGCATACCAGCATGCTGGTGCATGCATCCTCAGCATGTGGTGCAAGATCACGAGTGGTGGTATTGCAAGCATCACTGCATGGTGGTGAAGCATCAACACCATGCTGGTGCTCGCATCACCAGCATGGTGGTGCAAAATCACAGCCATTGATGGTGCAAGCATCACAGCAGATGCGTTGCAAGCATCACCCGCATGCTGAGTTGCAAGCATCACCAGCATGGTGGTGCAGGGCAGCATCACCGCATGCTGGTGCAAGCATCACCAGAGGTGGTGCAAGCATCACCAGCCTGGTGTGGTGAGCATCACAGCACATGGTGGTGCAAGCCATAACCAAGCATGGTGGGTGCAAGCATCAACAGCAAGCATGGTGGTTGCAAGCCACAGCTTGGGGGTGCAAGCCTCACTGGCATGGTGGTGCAAAGCATCACCGCATGGTGGTGCAGAATCACAGATGGTGGTTGCAAGCAACACCAGCATGGTGGTGGCAAGCATCACCAGCATGGTGGTGCAAGCATCACCAACATCATGGTGTAAGCTCCTGCATGGTGGGTGCAAGCATTTCACCGCATGGTGGTGCATGCTTCACAGCCTGGTGGCTAAGCATCACCAGATGGTGTGCAAGATTCTCCAGCATGGTGGTGCAGCATCACCAGCTGGTTTGCAAGCATCACAAGCATGGTGGTGCAGCATCACAGAATGTGGTGGTGCAAGCATCACCAGCATGGGGTTGCAATCATCAACAGATGGTGGTGCAAAGCATCACCAGCATGGTGGGCATGATCACCAGCATGGTGGTGCAAGCTCAAGGCATAGTGGTGCAATGCACGCCATCACAAGCATGTGGTGCAAGCTTCACCAGCATCGTGGTGCAAGCATACCAGCATTGGTGGTGAAGCATCACAAGCATGGTGGTTCAGTATCATAGATGTGGTGCAAGCATCAACGGCATGGTGGTGCAAGCATCACAAGCATGGTGGTGCAAGGCATTCACCCAGCAGGGTGGTGTGTTGCAAGCATCACGCTTGGTGGTGCAATTCATCACCTGCATGGTGGTGAAGCTTCATCCAGCATGGCTGGTGCAAGCATCACCAGCATGGTGGTTGAATTATACCAGCACCTACAATGGTGGTGAAGCTATCCCAGACTCTGCATGGTGGTGCAAGATCACAAGCAGGGTGGTGCATGGCATCACCAGCATGGTGGTGCAGATCACCTGCTGGTGGTGCTTGCAAGCATCAACCAGCTGGTGGTGCGAGGCATCACCAGCCATGGTGGTACAAGATCACCAGCATGGTGGTGCAAGCATCGCCAGCAAGCGTACAAGCATAACAGCATGGTCGTGAAGCATCACCAGCATGCTGGTGATAGATCACCAGATGGTGGTAAAAGCATCACCAGATGCTGGTGGCAAGCTCACAGCATGGTTGTACAAGCATCAACGTGCATGGTGGAGCAAGCATTCATCCAGCTATGGTGGTACAAGCTTCAACAGGCATGGTGGGTGCAAAGCATCATAGGCATGTGGTGCAAGCATCACCAGATGCTTGGTGCAAGCCTCAACAGCATGGAGTACACGAATCTCTCAGCATGGTGGAGCATGCATCACCAGCATGGTGTAAGCTTCACCAGCATGCTGGTTACAACATCACAGCATGGTGGTTGCAAGCTTCACCAGCAATGGTGGTGCAAGCATCCCAGAATGGTGGTAAAAGCATACCAGCAAGGGTGGTGCAAGCTATCACAGCATGCTGGTACAAGCATCCCAGCATGGGGGTACAAGCATCACCAGCATGCGTGGTGTTTGAAGCATTACCAGCATGTGGGTGTTACAAGCATCACCAGAAGGTGGTGTGCAAGCATCCAGATGCTGGTACAAGCTTCACAGCATGGTGGTGCAGCATCACCAGCATGCTGACGAAACGCTTCACAGCATGGTGGTGCAAGCATCATCAGCACGGTGGTACAAGCATCACCAGCATGCTGGTACAAGCATCACCAGCATGGTGGTGCAAGCATCACCAGCATGGTGGTGCAAGCATCACCAGCATGGTGGTGCAAGTTATCAGCACGGTTGGTACAAGCTTCCAGCATTGTGGTACAAGGCATCACCAGCATGGTGGTGCAAGCATCACAGCTGGCGCTGGTGCAAGCATCACCAGCATGGTGTAATACAAGCATCACCAGGCTGGGCAGGTGCAAGCATCACCGCATGCTGGTGCAAGCATCACCAGCATGGTGGGGCACGCTTCACGAGCTTGGTGTGCAAGTCATCACCAGCTGGTGGTGGATAGATTCACAACATGCTGGGGCAAGCATCACCAGATGGTGGGTTGGCAAGCATCACCAGCATATGATGTGCAAGCATCACCAGCTTGTTGGTGCAAGCTCACCTGCATGTTGTGCATGCATCACCCGCATGGTAGGTGAAGGCTCACCGACATGCTGGTTGGCAAGCAATCACCAGACATGGTGGTGCAAGAGCATCACCAGCATGGTGGTGCCAAGCATCCCTGATCCTGGTCGTAAGATCACCAGGGCTTGGGTGTTTGGCAAGACATACAGCATGCTTGGTGCAAGCATAACCAGCATGGTGAGTGAAAGCATCAGCATGGGTGGTGATGCATCACTGCCTGTGGTGTGCAAGTCTCACCGCTGGTTTGCATGCATCACCAGCATGGTGGTGCAAAGGCATCACCAGCTGGGGGTGCCAAGCATCACAGCATGGGGATGCTGCATGCATCACAGATGGTGGTGCAAGCATAAAACAGCATGGGTGGTCGCAAGCATCACCAGCTGGTGGTTGCATCATCCACAGCATGGTGGTTGCAAGCATCCCAAGCATAGGTGGTGTGCAACAAAGCATCTCCCAGCATGGTGGGTGCAAGACATTCTACCACGCATGGTGGTGCAAAGGCATCACCAGAGGTTGGTGCAGCATCACCAGCTTGGTGGTGCAAGATCACTGCATGGTGGTGAAGCATCACCAGCTTGGTGGGTGCAAGTTCACCAGCATTGTCGGGTG